TGAATATTAGGTAGTCTTGAGATTATTAGATATAAATTAGAATTATTGGGTAATAATAATATATATGTACTAGAAAATTAGAAATTGACAAAAATATCCACACACGACAAAACTATTGAATTTTACATATTTGAATTTTTCGTAATTTTTCATTTTTTTATTTTTATATATTTTTTCACCGGTTCGGATTGGTTTTAAACCGCAATTAAACTATTTAAACAGGGCTTAATGTAAATTTACCATTTTATCATTAGTTAAAATTATGGTCAAGATCAATTCTATAGTCAACTAACAGTTTCTGTTAAATTAGACTTCAAGTGCGAGTTTTTTTAAAGGTTTGGTATTGTGTGTGTCACAAATTAAAGGTTTTGAACAAGTCTGCATAAAAGTAGAATATTTGATACCGTGGCTACAATTTTTCCATTTATTTTTTTCAACCTGAAACATGTGATCTTAGTGGATTCAAACACGCTCAAAGGTGCAATTTAATTTTTTATTTTCTATAGTTTGTCTCACGTTTATTGGAGTGCATCGCATAACATGTGTCCTTAATTAATACGAATATAAATTAAGAACCACCACTTTATAAGTTGGGCCAGACCATTTTCACTAACATTTTTTTTAAAGTCATTTCACACGTAGGTGTTTGTCAACCGTAAGCATGATGTAGAGATTCTGCTCGTGTAATTAATAAGAAAATTCTATGTGTACATAATTTGAGTACATAATGATGTTCATAATGTGATGTGGACAAAATCATGTTCTTAATGTGAAAGTGTGAAATTTGAATTAAAGGTTGGATCCAGTGCCACGTGTAATTATGGACACCATTATGTATACATTTATGTACATGTAGCACTTTTCATATATAGATTTATTTAATTTTATGATATTATTATTAATAATAAAATGTGAAATTATCACCTGATTTNTGAAAATTAAAGTCTTTTTGTAACTGAAACTAAATATGAGCACATTATTTTTTTTTTTTTTGATATCCAGGTATCCTAATTTACACTAGACTATATCCTGGACCACCAATCGCCGGCCCCTCAGTGATGGGTGGAGGTTAATATGAGCACATTATTTGTTCACTTGATCATTTCCAAAGCCCACAAATGAGCATTACAATTAGAGGCAATTGTCCGAAGAACTATGCTACTTGTACATAATGGTGTCCACACCCTAACATGGAAGAAGACCCACTTTGAATAAAATATAATATAACCGAAAGAGGGTCCCCCTCTATGTGAGGGTATGAACACCATTATATACAATGAATTATGTACGTGTAGACAAACCCTTATCCGAAATGGTATATTGGTAGTATGGAAGGTGTTGGCAATGGCAGCAACAATGGGCCGCTGCCCCTTTTTTTTTTCTGAACAACAGTGGCCATGAGAACGACATCCGATGCAGCAACCAACCATGGTAGTGGCAGAGTGCAAGCCATGGCTGCTGTAGTGTTTGCATTTGGGTGGTCTAGTCGAGCATCTGACATGCGAACCACACCCTTGCATTATTTTGTTAATGATTAGATACACCACATGAAGCAATGAGTCTTTAGACTCCTATTCTCATTCTCTTATATCCAGCTGCATCATTTAGAAACTCAAAACGCACTATTATTTCCTTTCACATCGTAACGATGTATGTGAAATGTTAATGTTGACCATCATTTTAACAAACGAATCCTTAAGTTTTGAATCAGAAGGTGACTTTCTTTAGAAATTGACATAAATGGATGTGAACATTAAACATAGGAGATTAATTTTGTACTTCGTAAAGTTCTATCAATTCACTTGAAGCAATCTTTGGATAGTAGTAAACGATTCGATGAGAACCATTCACAGAACATTAAACTGTAAAGAAAAGTGATTCTTGAAGAAGAATTGGACAACCTTATTTTTACCAAATCTGTTAGAATAAATTCAGTTCAATGGAGCCTTCAGTTACCAGTTTGTTTCAACTGATGTTGGTTAGAATCTTCAACAAATTGGAGCCTTGTTTGTTGGTAGTTAATAACTGAAATGGAACCTCATTTAGGTCTATAAATAGGATCCTTAGGTAGTGCAAAAGGAAGAAAACTTTCGAGAGTAAAAGGGGGATAGAAAGTGAGATTTGATAAGAATGGTAGAATTCTTATAAATCTGGAAAAATCTTTCTTGTATGATTTCAAGTGTTTAAATCATGTTTTGCTTTGGTAATAAAGTGTTGGAAGAGGATTTCTTCCCGTTTAAATCACTCTAAGTGCTGAATCTTGACGACAATCACATTTTCTCTTTAAGTCTGTGAGTTCAGAATCAATTTCAAAGCATTAGTGCAAATACGGTAAGTTGCAAGTATATCCGGTATGAAGAAGCGATATCCGGTATGCATAAGCCAAATATGTTAAGTTCAATTTCAGCCAATTTTTCTCCTTTTCTGCTGGTGCTTTGCCGATTACTGAGCTTCTTAAATAAATACAAAGTAGAGATAGCCTCCAGAAATTCCAACATAAACAATATTGTTTCATTCACTTTCAGGCTCCATTCTTCCTAGTTTTGAAGTTGTGGTGTCATATTTTTGCATAATATTCAAAACAACACAGATGCTGAGTTATATCACCGGACATCCTTAGTTAATTTCGGTTCTGGATATGCCCTTAAATGAGGTTTTTTTTTTTCTGAATAATTCTTATTTGGTCTCCAACCTAGATAGTTTAACTAGTTTTGAGAATTGGTATGGAGAAAATGCCATGATTAGCCCTTCTATTCGCACCAGTTTACTGCGTATTTGACTTGTATTTTCAAGACCAAAACTTTTTGAGACCAAAATTTTGCATAAAAGTAAATTTAATGGTTGCATTTAAAAGAAAGTATGTAATAATTGATTATTTGCATTGAAATTAAAGCAAAAGCATAAAGAGGCGTCCTCAAAATACTTGAGAAAAGCAAATACTAGCACAAGAATCATGTTTTACATTCTTCCCAAATTAATGAAGAAAAAACAAGTTATGCAAAGACAATTTAACTAACATTAGAATAAAGCTAAGTACACAAACATAGTGAACAACATTGGTTGAGAACCATATGTTTTCAAAATCCAAGCCTATGATGTAGAAAACAGTTTTTTAAAATGGATGAATATGATAATATTAAGTAGGATGTTGTCAATCAATATTGTCAACAAACATTGTGCATGTAGCATGATTACTAACATTATATGACTTTGTAACGTTACACATCAAATTAACATCGTATGATATGCTTAGAAAACAGATAATTGTGACTTTGTAATATTACACGTCTAATTGACCAGAATCATAGACATTAAACAAAAATACATTATAAAAATTTATGTGTAATACCTCATGTAACACGTGTATGATACCAGAAAATAGACGTGAAATTACATAGAACGAAATCATGTGAATGTGTAGTTTTAATTAAACATCACACGATAAGATATATTTCAAATTTTAAGAAAGATGACACTTAAGATAACTTGCTGCTCTACAAGTTACCTAAATCGAACATGAGAAATATTTTAATCTAATCAACACAATAGGCAAAACATCTGGTTCACTAACTATGGAGATGATTTGGATGTCAGTAAATGATTCATAAAAGGTGGGATTTTATTAAAGAAAAAAAAAATCAGTATTAAAGAAATAAAAGAAAAAATGTAAGGTAAAGTATGACTATTTTATATGAAAGGTGTATGTGGTGTGATTTCCACTTAATAATTTGCCCATTAAATGGATAAAATGATGTAACAATATTTGTTATCGTAATTAATGCTCAATACTAACATTTTGATCGGAAAGATTACTTTCTTCGTCTACATTCATAATTACTTAGAGTGTGTTTGGTAGGGATTTTTGGGGGAAGAATTGATTTTTGAATCGTGATATGATGAGAAATGCATGGTTGAAAAAGAAGAAAAAAGTATTGATGTGATGGAAAATATTATTTAATTGAAGAATGTGTGATTGAAAATGAGAATTGATTTACTGTAGAAAATGAGAATTTGTACCAAACAGGCCCTTAAATTCATTCATTCATTCATTCACGCAAGTCATTTAAATAATTCCTCCACAATCTTTCAAAATAATTGAAGAATTAAGAGAAGATCCACCAGTTGACTCTCTGATTATAACTTTTGATATTCTAAACAACATCTTCTTTCTTCTAAAGTAGTTAGTTCTTATTCTGGAGAACGGAGTGCATACTTTTTTCCTTCATTTATTTTTATTAAAATCATTTGTGTTTTAATTACTGTAGTCTTACTACAATTCTCCTCCACATGTATTGCATGGGCCATTTTAATAACAACCATGCTACAAATACAATTTTTTTGATATCAAATTTGACAATGTGCTACTTCAAAAGTGAAAATTTGAGAATTTTAAATGTATTATTCACTTTATTTTCTTTCCTTCCTTTTTCGCCCCCATCTAAAAAGTATATATAAACGGTTTGAGTTATAAATAGATAAAAATAAGTCGTGAAATAAGCGGATAGCAATTGTAAATTTCTCGAAATGTGTGTAATTAATGAATTTTATATGGAAATGTATTTCAAACAATTCATTGTTCATTGTTGGGAAAAGTAGAAGAATAGGAGGAGAGATTTTTTGTCCAATATTTCTATAATTCTATTTGCTTTCAAATTTCAATAAACCGATTGTTGTTATCTTTGGATGGCACCCTCGAATTCGAAGCTACATTTGAGAATCTGTCTGATGTTTGAATTTCAATTTCTTTGAGTGATTTTTAAATTATTGCATAATGTTGTAGCCGGCCGCGAAAAAAACTAATTATAAAATAATATTGAGAACAAACGCGCAAAATACTGTACTTGCACAAAGAGAACAAACATGCAACATCTGTGGTCTCATGTATGTAATAACCATTCTGCCAAGAATCAGCATATACATGTAATACTCGAAAAAAAAAATCCATTTTACATATTGCCCAAGTTGTAAAACAGCTATAGACATGTACAAGTTTGCAAAACTTAGAACTTCTCAACTGGGAATCCTATGACAGGTTTGATTTCTGATGCCATAGAACGGAGCTCATCAATTTCTTCGGCACTGAGTCTCCACCCGAGTGCGCCAGCAAACTCTGTAGCCTGCTCTGCATTTCTGGCCCCGGGTATTGGTACAACGTTCTCCTGGGCGATTAACCAGTTGAGGACAACCTGTGAAGAGAAATTACACTAGTAAACATACAGGTGTATTAGTTTACTGTTTTTACAGATATCCAATGGCAGAGCCTAACTTTTGGTTTGGGGGCCTATGGCGGTCGTCGGCAATACGCTAGTCGACTGCTGGTGGCGTAGCTATAGTTGGCAGAGAGATCGACGCATAAAGAAAAAAAAAAAGAACTACATATTTCGATCATAAATTTTGGTAAGGAAATATAAAGTAATCCACTTTTGATTACTCGGGCAAGGAAATACAAATAATTTTTTTTCCCTACTTTACCCATCAAAAAATTAATTTGTGCATCTCGAGCGAGGAAATATAACGCTAGAGTTATGCCTTAATGGTTTGAGTTGAATTTCTAGAGGTGCCAAAGCCTAAGGACTAACCGCAATAATTTTCCAAAGTAGTGAAAACTGATTGCCGTGGTTGGGCCAAAACTAAGAGACCTTTACCACTAGGTTGTATCTACATTATTAGCAAATGGCAAGAAATTAAAGGTCTAAAGTTTACTGTGGTTAGGCCAAAAATAAGCATCTGACATCGTAAATTCAAGAGCTTAGCAATTGGCATATAATAATATTCTTCTTTGAAGTGATTGATATATCCCAGGTTAATTATGCTAAAAGTTGAGAACAAACCTGAGTTGGAGTTCTATTGTAGTTTTGTCCAATCTCTTCTATTCGATTTATCAGAGGTTGTAACTGCAGGTAAGCAAAAGCAATATAAGGAACTGAGTAGAAAACTTGTATGTAAAATATACTAGTGCATTGATATCACTAACCTTTGTCAGGAACTCGGGGGTATAAATCCGTCCTCTAGGGCCAGAGGGAGGGTTATCTGGAGTGTATTTCCCCGTCAGAGCACCTATATATATCAAGACAGCTCAGAGGCTAAGTGACAGAAGAAAAGTAATCCAGAATCCTCCTCTTAACTCTTAAGTTTAGTCAAGGTAGATTGGAGCTATAAAAATAAGTGTGGAATTGAAAATCACCCCTCCCTCAAAAATCAATAAACCAAAAAGAAATGAAAATGAATAAAGAAATCCGTTGGTGGAAATGCAATTCCTGATGCCAAAGAGTCATGACCAAACGTGGTAAAGTGAAATAAAATCAAGTACATCGAAACAATAACTATTCACATTAAAGGTTATCTCTCGTAAAATATAGCAGAGAATTTCTGCATCCAAATGGTCCAACATTAAAGGGTTTACAATATGTTTTGGATCCCCAAAACAACTGCAATACCAAAAGGAACCAAAATAAAAAAGAAACAAAGAAAATTTAATATGCACGAATCAGTATTTTGACTGTCAACTATTGTTTAATTAAGTTCATGTCAGTTCTCCCCTTAAAAAAGTTATGCAAACACTACATGTTCGTGTAGATGGCTATGAAAGTTACGTAAGTCTGCAGAAATAAGCATAAATTGTGAAAAAAAAAAAGAAGAAGAAAGGATCAGGTTTTAACCTTGAGCAATTGGGGAATAAGCGATTATAGTGATCCCAAGTTCTTCACAGGCAGTTTTGACACCATTCTCCTCTGGGAGTCTGTATATGAGACTGTAATTTACTTGGTTGGAAGCCAGAGGAATACCTCTCTTTTGAAGTTGGTTATATGCATCACGAAGACGCTTCTCTAAAATCAGATATGGCGTCATCAGTCAAAGGTTGCATGTAAGACAGAAGAATGAGTAGGAATCTTTTCCAGATTCATCCATGATTTCATTAACGAAAGTAACAGAAATATCCATCGAGGATATTGCAGTGATTCAAAAGATCGAGAGAATAACACGAGTAGACAAAAGCAAAGAATATTGGACTTTGATTTGTCATTGGACAACCATGACAAGCTGACTGAAATGGCCCATTCAAATTTGAGTTGGAAGGAAATTTTAGGTGATTAAGAAACCAGTTCAATCATTTTCGTATAAATGAAGAAAATTGCAGAAAAAGCAACACATACCACTATAGTTGCATACTCCAACAGCCTTCACAAGACCCTGCTCCACTGCATCAGCTAGACCATCAATATATCCTGAAAAACGGTTCTCAATATGCTAAGCCCTCTTGAACTTAAACATGCATATTCTCAAATTTAGTTACTATATCAGATCAGTCATTAAGCGAAACAGTGTACAACCTTCATTTCCCCATACTCCTGGCCTGAAATTTTCATCAGATAACAAATTGCTTCAATACGTGTATGTACTACAGATTAGAATAGGAAGACTAGTATTTGGAAAGTTAAAGAAGCAGACCAGTGGAGCTGATAGAGATCCACAGAAGACAGTCCAAGGCGACATAGAGAATCCTTCAGAGCAGAAATAACACTCTGGCGACCGAGCCTCCATGGTAACGCTGCATATTTGGTCGCAACATTGACTTCTATATCTGGATTCTTATCTTTCTTTTCCTTGATGAATCTTAACAAATATCGCAACTCGAATTACAAGAACTACAAAATTGAAGAAAACTGGAAAACAGTGTCCTGAAATTTCAACTCTCAAAATGTGTCTCAAGTTACCTTCCCAACAGTGTTTCAGAACTTTCTGCTCCCAAAGCAAGCTGCAAGAACAGGCAACAAGTTTCATGGGATCACGCGTGTTAACCGAATACATGAAAAAAACACAAAATATAACCATTTTCCCACCCTTGAGCCATAAACCTCAGCTGTATCAACTAATGTTATACCACAGTCAACACTGGCATTAAAAGCAGCCTTGGCAGCCTTCATTTTTCTGTCTGTCAGCATCACAACAGGAGAAAGAAAGTTGACTATTCGTTGATGATTATAAGAAACAAAACAAAGAGGAACATCATCCGAAAACACATTACATGCAGAGAGGACACGGGAGAGTTCACACTAAAAGTGTGACAATCCCCTCTCGGAACCAACAGTACAACTTCCACAACCCCTGCACTTGTATTCGCACTCAGAAAAAGAAAAAAGCACTGACCAGGCAAATGGAAAATAGGAAAATAAAATATCATAAAGTATTCATGTGGCCGACGCCATATGTATAGAAATGATGCTTAGTTGTTTTATATGGACTCTCAGTCAGACAAGAAAACAGGCCAAGCCAAATTTTAGAAAATTGGGTGGGATTGAGGCAAGGAGGACACATACAATGTAGAAACAAGAAAGTAAAGAAATTAAGGAAAAGGAAAACTGTGAAAGAAAAGGAAAAAAAAATGTCCATTCTAATACCTTAAGAATATTACTACAATTCTAGCGATGAAAACAATTATGAAACACATCCTTCAAATATAAGAGATAAGAAGTGGCATGGTGAAAATATATTTATCATAACAACAATGTTCACATAAATGAAGATTCATTGTGAATCATACACTCACCTTCAACACTAGACCATGTAAGCAACCTAAAATGGCATATTGCTGACTTCATAATGTAAAATGATGCCACTAATTATATTTTGTAATGACACCATATTTGATAGAAGTAAGTCAGTATTTGATTAGCAGCAAGGAAAAATAGGATCTGTTCGCAAAGGACTGTATTTTGCTAATGGCCTTGTGAAAGTAAGAAAGAATTCTACTTCACATGAAAGAAGACATTTCTCCCTATTTCTGATGATAAACAAAAGCATCAACTACGAAATTCCACGTGGATAGTAAATGCCATTACCTACAGAAAGGTAATTAGTAATTACAATCAGAGAGTTCTGAGAGTTAAACTTGATGGTACACTTGTATTACATGAAGAAAGCCAGTATCTTTATAGTACCAAGTAGTTGGCTTACGATGTGAACTCTCATCATTTCCTCCATTAGCCACTTTCATCCCTATGATCCTGTCATTTGTATTATCAAAAGTATTTTCAATGTGTTTAGCGTGGCCACTTCCATCACAGTGATTCTATCTTAGTTAAAAGAGGTGAGGAATCTGTAGAAAATCCTTTTCCAACTAGAAGAACGCGAAAAACATAAATATGTGCAAATGTTCTGTTGATTCATTTTTCCTACCCCCCCCCCCCCCCCTCTCCCCCCGGTCTAATATTGTTGGAAAATGGTCTTTGGTCTCTCATGTGGACCGAGCCAACCTGCATTCCTTGATATGGGTTGGTACAGCTAGACTAATTTTTGAACTTGAAAATTCACTTCCAAAATCTATCTACAACCACCCATAGCCACTCATCTACAAAGGGACAGAAATTCATACACGGAATAATTTACTTTCTGAGCACAAGAGTACATTAAATTGCAGAATTCGAGTGAGTGGAACAAGCAAGTAATTCAATCAAAAAGTATACCAAATTCAATGTTTCTAACAAATTTTCTAAGCGAAACCCATTCTTGTTTTGAATACAATGTTACAAATATAAACACCACCTCTTTTACAACTTATAAAATACCACAAGATAATGTTATATCCTATTCAATTACCATCACACATTCATAGGCACTAAAGATAATCATGATTTATGGGTTGAATGAAATGATAATCGAAGTAACAAAACCTTAACACATGAGATAACATGGAGTGGAAATTACCATCCCAATCGAAATTGTTCCAGTAACTGGTGTCACCCCATGACCAGGCACCAATCCCAAGCCTGCTCACCTTCAGTTCAGAACCACCCAACTTCAATTTCTCTTCATCGGTCTTCAGAACAGTACTTTCCTGCCCGGAAGCCACAGCTTTAACTGTCCTAATTTTATTCCGACTAAAAGTACAGAAACATGCACTGCTCAAATGTAGAGCCATTATCTCTTTTTAGAATTTGGCACCAATTTTTGTGAAAATATTGGGGGTTTCAAGAAAAAACTATGTCCAGTTGAAAGGAGGAACCTTGTAGGATGAATGTCATATTTCTTCAGCACAAATGTTGGATTTTGGTCCATGGAAGTAAAATTGTGAATGAATGGCACTTAATTTTTACACGTTAAGTATTTCCATACTGCAAACAAAAAGCGATTAGGACCCACCTAAATCGGACGTCACTCAATTTAGTAGAAAGTGTTGTGATGAAATTTCAGAATAAAAATAAAAATAAAAATAAAAATTAATTTATAAGTGTTTGAACTATTTTTCTTAACAAAATTGACATTTTAAGATAGAATATCAAATCTTAACATGGTATCAGAATCTATTAAGTTCTAACGTTCAATTCAATTCGATTAAAACTCAAAAAATGAGTATACGAATTTCAAGATTGATTTGTTTAAACGAGCTACTATCTTACAGGGTATGTTAAGAGATAAAAAATCCTACATTGAATAAAGATAAAAATATAGATCAACTTATAAGTGTTTCGAGTTACTTCTGACTTAAAAAATGAGTATATGAATTTCAAGATTGATTTGCTCAAACGAGCTACTCTCTTACGATGCATGTTAAGGGATAAAAAATTCTATATTGAATAAAGATAAAAATATAGATCAACTTATAAATGTTTGAGTTACTCCTCTTAACAAGCTTGAAATTCGTATGCTCATTTTTTTGAGTTTAATTGAACCGAATTACTTGTTGGAGTTTAATAAACTATGATACGATATTAAGACTTGATGTTTCATGCTCTGATATCATGTTAAGATTTAAGGTTCAACTTAAAAGGTTAACATTGTCAAGATGAATAGTCCAAACACTTATAAGTTAATCTATATTTTTATCTTTTTTCGATGTGGAATTTCATTCCTCAACAGAAAGTTGAAGGTAGAAAGTAGAAAGATGGAATAAGCGTTTACCCAAATGGACCAACGAAGTCTTGGGGACTGGCTATGCATATATAGGGCATGTTTGGCATATTTTTATTTTTGCTTTTATTTTATGTAAAAGAATTTTCTAAGAAAGTTACGTTAATTTTTGTTTGAAAAGAGCTTCTTATTTGAAAAATAATTTTAGAGGAAATCAAATTGAGCTAACTGAAAACTCTTATAATTAAAAAAGACAATCCCATAAAAATATCAAATTGATCCAAAAGCAATTTTTAGGTCTCAAAAGTTCATTTTTACTTCTCAAAAGTCATGTTAAATGGACTTGTAATTAGGTAGAGCCGGTCTTCTGGAGTAGCAAGTTAAGCTAGGTTTGTCAATTTTCTACATGAGCTTGTCAAGATTCGAGCCCGGTCAAGGCAATATGGATGACTCGACTATCCAAATTCCTTTTTCGAAAAATTGCAGTAGAGGTTCCAAACATTTTAAAAGTATGTCAAGTGAACCCAAACCTTCTAATCTTAGCAACTAAATTTCAAACTTTTAAACAAATGTGCACCGGAAAGACCTTAGATGATTCCATCCAAAAGATTGTTGGTTGACTGAAATCGCACTCCAAAGTGATCCTATGCTCCATTTAATTTTTAATGGCCCCTAAAAAGAGTTATTTATTACTTATGACACCAACAATTTCAACTTCTCGATGAGGATCAGATACTGAGCAATATTATTGACTGTCAACGATATTACTGTTGTAATCATTGATGGAGGCATATCAAATCATAACCAATGATATCGTTGTTCATAAACGTTGTCCGAAATCACCATAAAAATTGATTTAAATACACATATATGATATAGTGAGAGGAATTGACTAAATGTTAGCCCCTATTTGGTAAAGATTAAAATCAGACTTTTTAATAGATTTTGATAAAAAGTTGATAAAATGTACAATTTAAAAGTTGTGTTCCACAAAATATGTTGTTAAAATTAATTGTTGACTTTAACTCGAGATTTTAATTGAATTTTAATTCAAACCAAACATGGACTTAATTTATGGAGTGATAGATATATGAATGAGGAAGAAAAGAATTGTTCAAATGAAAATGAAATATTAATTGAAATTTTGGAGAATAAAAACATAATTAAAAAAATTGATAGGTAAAGTGTTTACATAATATGATATAGATTGATTGATTTCAATTATTAATTTTTTGGTCTATTTACTTATTTTTAATGGAAACTTTGTAAATTTTTTTAGCAAAATTATTTTTTATTATCATATTGAAAATTGTAGTATGTAGAGTAAAAATTTAAAATATACAGTGCGTAATATGTAAATACATACTAAACAATGGTGTATTGTGTAAATATCCATAAAGTAGGGTATATTTTATTCTTTTGATAAAAAGGGTAATTGGTGTAATTTTCCAAAAAAAAAAAAAAAATGTCTAACAAATTTGGAAAATGGCTAGGCCCCAAGGGCCAGCTAGCCCGGACCCCTCATGTCCTGCATGTTTACCCAATTGACGCCTCTATTACACCCTATGATTAGGGCTTCAAAAATTATGCCTACGTTTTACCATTTAGGGCGTGTTCTCTTTACCGTTTTCAAATCGTTTTCTATTTTCTATTTTTCAAAATAGTGAAAACGCGTTCTTTTTCATATTTTTGAAAATGAATTTTTGAAAACAAGTTAAAAATTTACGAAGAAAATCCAAAACGACAAATTTGTAGTTTGGGGTGTTTTTAATTATAATCAAGCAAAAATTTTCAAAACGCATTTTGGATGTTTTCAATTTAACGTTACCTCAACCACCACCAACGCCGTCGCACCACACCATCGTCGCCTACACTATACCACCACCACACAACCGTGCAGGGTCGCCACCATAGTCGCCACCACACAACCGTCAGATCCACCACCATAAAAATCGCCAAAATCGCCGCAGAACTATCACCACCGCCACACCCAAAAACCACAACCACAACCACGCACCCAAACACCACCGCTATACCAAATAACCAACCACCGCTACACCCAAAAACCACCGCCACACCACGCACCCAAAACCACCACACACCACCGTCACAGCCACAACCACAACCAACTACTGCCACAGTAAAAAGAGAGAGAGAGAGAGAGAGAGAGAGATGAAGTCGTCGACGATGGCAGCTACAACCAATCATCGTCGCATGCCACGCACCGATCGCAGCCACCGTCGCTGCTCGTCGACAAAGGAGTGGAAAAAGAGAGAGAGAGAGAGACGAGAGAAAGGGGAAGAAAGAGAACGAGGTTTCCAATTTTTGATTTTTGAAAATAATTTTCCGAAATGTCAAAAAGAATACATTTTCAACAATCTCAAAATGAACACTCAATACACAAAACCCAAAATGAATTCAAAACTGAAAACACAAAACTGAAATATAAAGAGAACAATCCCTAAGGGGCTGTTCTCTTTATGTTTCAGTTTTGTATTTTGAGTTTTGAATTCGTTTTGTGTTTTGTGTTTTGAGTGTCTGTTTTGAAATTTCTGAAAATGCGTTCTGTTTAGCCCGGACCCCTCATGTCCTGCATAGCTCGGGGCTCTAGGCGTGTTTACCTAATTGACGCCTCTATTACACCCTATGATTAGAGTAAAAAGTTTCATTAGTCACTAAACTTCACCTATTGTCACCTTATAGTCACTGAACTTCATGCTTCTTCTCACCGGTCACTGAACTTACAATCGAACTCCTCCATCCACCATCCACCATCTCTGCTGTTTGAGTCGGTCTGACGTGGCTTGACGGCCGTCGACCTGGCAGTCGACGGCGTGAGTAACGTCCATGTCGGACGTGTTTTCATCCTCAAAAACACGACAATTCAGTGAATCAAATTCAAATCCCTAACACCACCATTTCTCCCCAATTCGAACAAGAACCCATTGCCCTCAACACCTTCCCCCAAATCGATTCCTCCACGCCGTTGAAGAAGCTTTCCAGCCTTTTTCACCTAATTTCGAATTCGAGAACCCTACAGCAATTCCTTCAATTTCTCCCCCAATTCAGTCGGCGAGAAGTGGGCACTGTCACCAACCGACGGCGCGAACGCTGAAATTAGCCTCTGTAGTGGACTCCGAAGTGTGGATTCGTACGCATGGAAGGAGCAGACGGAGGTAAATGCATTGATGCAATAGGTTTCGAATCTGTGACTTCATTTTGGCAATACCCGTTTTTTTGGATAGGAAACAATTTTTTAGATAATGTGATATTGCAATATTGGTTCAGGATAATGTGATTGCAATATCCAGGTTCAGGATAATGTGATATTGCAATATTGGTTGTTGACATAATGCATGGTTTGGAACCACAGAGCAGCAAATTGGAGGGAGAGGTTGTTTAGTCACTCAATGGCTGCTCTGTGAATGATGAGTGAATTATGAATGTATAAAACTGATTATTATTTATAGAACTGATGAGTGAATGATATAGAACTGATTATTATTTATACAAGATACACTAATAATTTCGTTGTTTTCATTTTTTTTGACAGAGCATGACGAAGACCCTGATTTCGTTCATTCCGAGGTTGACATGGCTTCTGAGGAAGACGATTGGTTGTACGACCTCAATGTGACAGATGGAATCGAAATTGGATCGGACATGAATGAAGCAAGAAACGAAGGAGTATTGATGGGTGTAGGGGAGGTAGTAGACGATGACTTGGAGTACCCCTCATCTGAGGAGTTAATATTGGCTTGCTCATCGGACGAAGAGGTTGGTTATCGCTTCCCAGAATTTTTTGCTGAGACAGATATGAGGAATCCGAAGTTTGAGGTTGGACAACTCTTTCGCTCAATGGATGAGTTTCGGGCTGCAGTGAGAAACTATGGTGCTCTGAATGGTTACAATGTCAAGTTAAAGTGCAACGATAGAAAACGAGCTCAAGGAGTTTGTAAACTGGGGTGTAATTGGAGGATATGGGCCTCGAAGTTAAGTACGACGGATACAGTACAAGTGAAGTCTTACACATCGGAGCACACATGCACACGGAGCTAACGCAATAGACATTGCAACTACATCTTCTTGACAAATAGATACATTGAACAATTCAAGGCAGACCCCGATTGGAAAACAAAGTTGATTTTGGCGACTGTGAAGGATGATTTGAAGACTGAGAAAAGTAGAAATGTTGCAAACAAGATGAGGCAGTATGCTAAGGAATTATTGTTTGGAACAATGGAAGAACAATTCGGACTGCTGAGGAGATATGCTGCGGAGGTTATTCAGACAAATTCAGGATCAACAATAATGATATCCTTACATGAACAAGTTTTCAAAGGTATCTATATATGCTTCAGTGCCTGCAAGGCCGGGTTTAAAATTGGCTACAGGAAAGTGGTAGGCGTTGATGGCTGCCATTTGCGGGGTTATTTTGGGGGAATTATGTTAACAGCTGTGGGTCAGGATGCTAATGATTGTATATACCCTGTGGCGTATGCTATTGTTGAGAAGGAGAACACAGATACTTGGAGATGGTTTATGAAGTACCTTGACGAGGACATTGAAATTGGCAATGGGAGGGGTTGGACATTGATGACTGACAGGCAAAAGGGTCTTCAAAATATATGCGATGAGTTATTCCCGGAGGCAGAACATCGCTTCTGTGTACGACATATGTACACAAACTTCTTCAGCGTCGGTCATAAGAGCAAAATACTAAAAGATTATCTTTGGCGTGCCGCCAAGTCAACAACTGTTTCGGAATTCAAACAATGGATGCAAAAAATTCGTGAAGTAAGTGAAGATGCATATAGATGGCTGATGAAGAGACACCCTCATGAGTGGAGTCGATCACACTTTCTTGTGCACTCCAAGTCAGATGTTCTGCTCAACAACATATGCGAAGTATTCAACAAAACTTTACTTGACGATAGGGAGAAATTGATTCTAAATTTGTTGACATTAGTACAGATGACGTTTATGAAACGTATACAGCAGAGACGTGAAAAAATGGGACGATGCGAAGGTCGTTTATGTCCAAAAATTACAAAAATACTGCACAAGATCGCTGAGATGTCAAGAGAATGCACGTTGCACTTGTCCGGGGGCCCGAAGTGGCAGGTTGATTGCAGTTTTGGCACATTTGTAGTTGATCTCGAAGAACATACATGTGCATGCAGAAAATGGGAGCTTACGGGTATACCGTGTATGCATGCCGTGGCAGTGATAAGAGACTGTAGAAATGATCCAGAGAATTTTGTTGACAATTGTTACACAATCGAGACATACATGAACTGCTACAATAACATCATGAAACCAATCAACGGCAAAATGTTGTGGCCCGAAGTGGATGCCCCTACTATCATCTAGCCTAATTGGCATGTGCCGCAACGTGGACAGAAGCAAAAAAAGAGAAGGAAACAAGCTGAAGAAATGGTAGTGCAAAGTCAGGGGAAGTCATACATGAAGAAGAAGGGGCAAGTGCGCATGACGTGTTCAATCTGTAGATTGCAGGGGCACAATAAAAGATATCACTCCAGCAATAGTGCACCTGATCAGGAATGGTTCAATGTTGAACTAGAACCACTAGAATCAAATAACAACGTATCAATGAACGAACATGTGAGTAAATATGCAAATCTTTTTTTTTTGGTAACTTCCTTTATATGATTTACTAATTGGCTGTGCATACAGGGTAAAATGGTGACATTGAGAAGTCTGGGATTGGCGTCGACCCAAAATCCAAATGATGATCAAGCCTCCATGCGTTTTATGCCGACCCCCATGGTTGCTAGACAAACTCACATGGATAGTGGAAGATGAGGCCAAGGAAGTACTTCAATATTTTTGGAAAAAGTACTGGAAGTTTTAGTGAAGGAATGAGCAATAGATCAATTTTTTGTTACGCTCTTTAGTTAAGGAATGAGCAATAGATCAATTTTTTGTTATGCTCTTTAGTGAAGGAATGAGCAATAGATCATTTTTTTGTTATGCTCTTTAATGGAATAGATGTCCTGGCTTGGCTTTAATGCAATGAATATATATTCCTTTTAATTCCATCAATTTTTTTTTTTATATTCCAACTCAAACGAGAATTTACAGATTGTTCAGTATAAATACAAAATTCCATCAACTAACAAACTAACTACTAACTAACTAATTGAGGCTAACAAACTCCAGCTATACAAATGAATGTAAACGATACATGTGTACATGATCAACTAAGCTAACAGACTAACTCCAGTTGGCATGCCTTGATGAGCTGTGAAGTAGCTACGTCTTCACTTGCTAATTCCCCAGCTTCCAGACTTGCTAATTCCCAATTTCAGGAAGTTATTCACATTGCCCAGCTTCCAGACTTGCTAATTCCCAACTTTCAGGAAGTTAGATTTTGATTGCGGTGAATCATGTTTAAGATGAACTTCATAATAGTGTAGATGCTGCTGTCCTCTCCTTCATACACTATGGTTCACAATGGTCATCACTATGAAACACAAAAACTACCATAAACTATACATCCCTTTCAGTCCATCAATAGCTTTGATAATGAATATCACTTCATTTTCAGCATCCAATTTCAAAACAAAGAAATCAAAGCAACGTTATGATGTACCTCACTTCATTCAAGGCAACTATAAATTCTGCATTTCTCATCTTCACAAGATTCAGAGACTCCATAGTCTGTGGTTCCAAACCATACATTATGTCAACAACCAATATTGCAATATCACATTATCCTGAACCAATATTGCAATATCACATTATCCAAAAAATTGTTCCCTATCCAAAAAAATGGGTATTGCCAAAATGAAGTCACAGATTCGAAACCCATTGCATCAATGCATTTACCTCCGTCTGTTCCTTCCATGCGTGCGAATCCACACTTCGGAGTCCACTACAGAGGCTAATTTCAGCGTTCGCGCCGTTGGTTGGTGACAATGCCCACTTCTCGCCGACTGAATTGGGGGAGAAATTGAAGGAATTGCTGTAGGGTTCTTGAATTCGAAATTAGGTGAAATAGGCTGGAAGCTTCTTCACCGGCGTGGAGGAATCGATTTGGGGGAAGGTGTTGAGGGCAATGGGTTCTTGTTCGAATTGGGGAGAAATGGTGGTGTTAGGGATTTGAATTTGATTCACTGAATTGTCGTGTTTTTGAGGATGAAAACGCGTCTGACATGGACGTTACTCACGCCGTCGACTGCCAGGTCGACGGCCGTCAAGCCACGTCAGATCGTCTCAAACGGCAGAGATGGTGGATGGTGGATGGAGGAGTTCGACTGTAAGTTCAGTAACCGGTGAGAAGAAGCATGAAGTTCAGTGACTATAAGGTGACAATAGGTGAAGTTTAGTGACTAATGAAACTTTTTACTCCTATGATTAGGGCTTAAAAAATTATGCCTACGTTTTACCATTTAGGGCGTGTTCTCTTTACCGTTTTCAAACTGTTTTCTATTTTTTATTTTTCAAAATAGTGAAAACGCGTTCTTTTTCCTATTTTTGAAAATGAATTTTTGAAAACAAGTTAAAATTTTACAAAGAAAATCCAAAACGACAAATTTGTAGTTTGGGGTATTTTTAGTTATAATGAAGCAAAAATTTTCAAAACGCATTTTGGATGTTTTCAATTTAACGTTACCTCAACCACCACCAACGCCGTCGCACCACACCATCATCGCCTACACCATACCACCACCACACAACCGTGCAGGGTCGCCACCATAGTCGCCACCACACAACCGTCAGATCCACCACCATAAAAATCGCCAAATCGCCGCAGAACCACCGCCACACCCAAAAACCACAACCACAGCTACGCACCCAAACACCACCGCTAGACCAAAGTACCCAACCACCGCTACATCCAAAAACCACCGCCACACCACGCACCCAAAACCACCACACACCACCGTCACAGCCACAACCACAACCAACTACTGCCACAGTAAAAAGAGAGAGANAGAGAGAGAGAGAGAGAGAGAGAGAGAGAGAGAGAGAGAGAGAGAGAGAGAGATGAAGTCGTCGACGATGGCAGCTACAACCAATCATCGTCGCACGCCACGCACCGATCGCAGCCACCGTCGCTGCTCGTCGACAAAGGAGTGGAAAAAGATAGAGAGAGACGAGAGATGAGAGAAAGGGGAAGAAAGAGAACGAGGTTTCCAATTTTTGATTTTTGAAAATAATTTTTCAAAATGTCAAAAAGAATACATTTTCAACTATCTCAAAATGAACACTCAATACACAAAACCCAAAATGAATTCAAAACTGAAAACACAAAACTGAAATATAAAGAGAACAATCCCTAAATGATTCGTAAAGAAGAATAATAGCAATTTCCACGAACATTTATGAATACGTGATTTAAATTAATATTATCTTTAACTAATTTTATAAATAACTATATAAATTTGTTTACCAAATGAAGGCTAAAGTTTTTGTGACATGATTCTACGAGAATGAACATTTTAGCGAAGAAAAATATATTAAAGTATCTCTTTAGTTCAATTTAGATCAGATTTTGAAGAATGACTGAAATCTTAGTAATTTTGCTGAACTGTTGGATTTCTTATCAAGAGTGTTTAAGAATAATTCCACATTATTGTCTTCCTTTTAGTGTATCTCTTGCTACATTCATGCTACTTGTACAATTTGGTTGACAACTTGTGAGTTGGTAGACATCATATCCATTTATTTGGAAAATTGTTTTTGAAATCAATGGCAACGATCTTTCCAACACATACATTGTCAACCAAGTTGTACAACTAGCTTAATTCCTCTTGCTAAGATTGCACGATTAATCAATGTCTTAGATATAAATTCACGAAATCAGCTCGACCCAACGTTGATGCGTTGGACGACATACAATGAAACAACTTGTATGTATAGCATAGAAACTAATCTACTAAAACTATAACAAAATGCAACTGACTCCATATCTAAGCCCTCAATTGTTGTAACCATTTCTGTGTGTCTTTTGCCATCTCCAAGCAATTGCTAAGCTTTCTTCAAGATTTGTGTACTTTGCCATCCAATTTAGTTCGTTATTGATCTTTGAAGGATCGCTGTATACTTCAGCATAATCCCCCGGACGACGACTTAGGTAATCCACCTTTATGTTCACACCAGTAGCCTTCTTACATGCTTCCACAAATTGTTTTACTGAACTACCTTTACCAGTGCCAACATTGTAAATACCAACTTTGCCTGGTTTTGCATGGGCTAAGGCTTTAACATGTGCGTCAATCAAATCAGTGACATCAATATAGTCTCTCACACAAGTTCCATCTGGTGTGCTATAATCAGTCCCTCTTATCTGCAATCACAAATTTTGACATCTTCTGAATCAAAAGTTGAGAAGGGTTTGAGGTAACATGAGGATTTTATCGTGTCTACTCTCTATGTTTAAGTTGAAAACAATAATGATTCTCCTTAAATAATCCTATTTTACGATTCAGAACGAAATTTCTAGCACTCAAAAATGCACTCTAAGCACTTTGATTGTGCACAAATTATTCGCCTAGTTATGTTAAACAACCATAACAAGAAAAATATGCACCTTTAATCCCGAAATTATTCCTCTGGCTGCATCAAAACAAGCTCCTGAAATACGTCCTTGTTCACGCAATTCTGGTCGTGGAGCTTCTCCCAGTCTTCCCTCAGGGTCGGAGCCAATAACATTGAAGTACCTGATCGCCATATGCCCACATAGAGGTCATTACTCTAACTTACTATGTTTTTTGTTTTAAGAAATTTGCCTACTTAAGAAATCACCAATTCCGTTTAGGATAACTAATAGTCCGTGCTGTTAAGGATGTACAAACCTTAAGATCATGACAGCCATGTCGGAAGTCTTTGAGAAGTCCAATATAATATCTTCAGCCATTTTCTTGGCTTTTCCGTATGGATTGATCGGGGCCTGAAGTTTCAAAACAGTTAATCGGCTGATCTTTTCTAACCAACTTTAACTAATTGAAAATTATGAATATGAAAGGCAAGATAGAAGCATATTGAGTACTAACTTGAGGAGTAACTTCTGTGATCGGCATCTTTTCTGGTTCTCCATATGTTGCACAAGTGCTCGAATAGATCAATGTCTTTACACCACGAGTAGCCATTGCCTTCACTAATAACAAGGTATTTGAGGTAATATTATGATAATACCTGCATTCAGAGCACACGGTACTGGTATAAGAAACATGTAGCAAGGGCAGATGAGGCATCGACAATCAGACCAAGAATTGTACTGGGTTTAGTGGAGGGACAGAAGCTACCTAGAAGGCACGGAACAACTTAAGTACCCTAGCAAGTCGATAAGTTTTATAATGCCCAAATGGCAAAGGTCGAGGCATTTTGACTCAAACAAGGTATACGGGTGTCAATAAGGGCCATGGTGGCCCGGCCTAGTCGCAGCAGCACCCGGACAGGTGGTGCCTGGCCCTTGTGACCGATGCAAAATTTTCTCTTTGAATGGATAATGGAAAGTCTCCACAAAAGCAGTCATCATATAACTAAATTTGTTTTCTTCATTCCAAGTTACCATAACAGGCATTATTACCCTTAGCCTGCAACTGATTAAGGGCTGGAAATCGAAAAGTACAAAATACCTTAGAGGTTCGGCTGTACTTTCACCAACATAAGCAACAGCCGCAAAATGCATGACGGCATCAAATGCATTCTCTCTAAAAATTTTATTTACCTGATATAAAAGTTAAAGAAGATATTGACAAAAAAACTTGATTTTATTTTAAGAGAGCTAATTAATTTGCAGACATGCAAGAAATTGTAATAGGATACTGATGCTGCATCCCCTAGATCAGCATATATAAATTGAAGTCTCCCGGGCTCAGGATAAAGTTCTTGGAGAATTTTAACAGCTCCCATGTTCCCTCTGGAAAGATTGTCCTGCCAAAATACAATCAATAAAAACCAGTTTTCAAGAATAAGGATAATTTCACATTCATTCAGAATAGATGAAATGAAATTCCACTTTTTTTAAATGGACATACCACAATGGTTACACGATATGAATCCTTAAGAAGCCGAAGGACAGCATGAGAACCTATATAGCCTGCACCTCCAGTTACTAACACGTGCGTTACTCCAGGCTCATGTTGAGAGAACTGAAGATGCACAGATGAAATCCGATACGTCAGACTGAGAGAAGTTATCATTGTCTAAAGAAGTAAGACAATGTCAAGAACTTAAACAAATCAATACAACAGATCGTAGATTCTTTTTCATCTTTAATACTGTCCAGAAATATCATAAAACAGGCTGTAAATGTTCTTCGACATTCATAACAAAGAAATAATTAAAGCAGGCTTTCTTTGACAGTTGGAATTTGAGGCATACCTTGGTAGAGGTACTAGTATCAGGTGCTCGCTTGAAAAGAAAAATAAAAAGTGCAGTAATGCCAGCAGCTAAGAAAACTTTTTTAGTGAAGTTGCTCCTTCGCTTCGTCTCCATAAAATCCATCCCTGTAAATGAAGAAATAGTTCCTTGTTAACTAAAAAAATGTGAAATCAAAGTTTTTTGTTCTCTTTTAGTTTGTGCAATGGCTCTAATGCTCTTAACATTTCTTGATAAATTAATAATACAATGGAAGAATGCTGATGTTCTGTTTTTGATGAATAGGATGAAGAATCATTAATCTCTCAACTCGAGGAAAAAAATTTCTACATCCCTTTCTTGTTTTGAGACTAGGAACCAAACAGTGTAAACCAAATTGCTTGGTACCTAGAATCTAAAGATCTTCTTGAGTACAGAATCAGACATTTAATTTGCAAGAAATCCAATTTGATGACGAAAATTTCTGTCCATGTTGACAAATTTACTGTGTACATGGTTGGTATGCAATACTGGTTAGGATTGGACATATAACAAGTAATATTTTTAGCTTCTTATGCAATCCTTTGTACTAAACTTGCTATATAAGTAAAACACTTGTAATAAATCTCAAGGTCGAAAAGACATGCAGAATTCTAAAATGAGAAAGATGCAATGGAACCAATACTTATATTAGAGTATATACCTTGAAATTGATGGAGCTGCAAAAGATAAATGTTTCTTCTTATTATTTGACACTGAATTGTCTCTTCTCAAGAAAGTAAACGACAATCGAAGGTAGAATTAACGATGATCACCTCGAATATCTATGATCCACTCTGTATCAATTCAAAGGGGGAAAAATGTTAATAAGCAAAATGATCCCACAAGGAAACAACCTTAAATCTCCGTTGTTGATACAAAATCAGATGATAAATTCTAATTCTTCAGAAATATTACAGAGACTTTTCTCACTCGGAGAAACCGAGGAAACAAAACAAAACAGAAACGAGTTTTCTCACTTATTCTTACATAAAACATTCAAAAGATCAAAGAAACGAACATAAGAGAAAAAACCCCAATTTTCGCATCGACTTGATACAAAATTTTTGTTCAGACAAGATCAAATCTTCACAAAAGAAAACTGATAGAAGCATAAATTTTGGAAACTGACTTTTGTACATGAAAAGGGCTATAATAAATACCTGAACTGGAGAGATATATAGAAATTAAGAAGAGTAATTGAAGACAGTTTGTATGCATATAATAACTAATAATAATTAAGTCTGAAATTGAAAAATGTGAAATGGGAACAAGGAGTAGGAGGAGATGATTTAGATAATCTGTTGAACATTGTAGTGGAAGAAAAGTGGACCATGTTCTTCTACGATCAAACAAAGCCTAAAAATGAGGAGATGACACACAAATGTTGTGTTGCCATCACATACACAATAAACCATCCATGTTCCTCTCTCTATGTGTATATGTACATATCTTTCTCTCTCCTCTGTTCTTTCTCTCTCCTCTGAGTGAGAGAGAGTGTATATGTTTTGTCAAGTCACGAGGGGGAAGGAAGGAGGGACGTTTGAATGGTAACTTTTAGTTTTTTTTTTTTTTAAAACTTACTTGTATTTGAAAACGATTATATATAAGAAATAATAAAAATGCATGATAAAAAAAAATGTATGTAGTAAATGTGTCAAAATATTGAAAACAAATATAATTATTTTATATTATATATGTACTATATAAAGACAAAGAATAATATTATGGATCCGTTTGAGCCTTATTTTATTGTAAGAATGCATATTGATGCAGAATGTATGGTTAAAAAAAAAAGAAAGTTTTGAATTTGTGCGTACTATTACTTTATTGAAGAATGTGCGATTAAAAAGAATATAGGAAAAAATATATTTGAGCTTTGTGATAGGTACATCATAATGTACATAAAGGTGTACACCCCCCTCACATGGGGGTGGGACCCGCTTAAATAAAAAAATATTTTATACAGTGGATCCCACCCCCAATGTGAGAGGGGTGTAGCCCCTTATGTACATCTTTTGATGTACAAGTGGAATTGTCCATAAAGTTAATTGATGATTTTGACGGCGTGAATTTTTTCAATTTAAGAGTACATGACTTTACTCGTTATAATTATAAATACATAATTTAATAGTAGTATGTTAATAATGAAGTTGGAATTGTTAATTAATCTCACTGTAATATAACATAACATTGATGATACAATTGAAAAACATTAAGCCAATTAACAAATTTTAATCTTTTTCCTTAATTTTGTATAATGCAAATAAGCAAGTAGTCGTTGACGTTTTCCCAAAAATTTTCGCAAACGAAAAAAGAAGTATTTTCCCCCTTTGATTTCTTAGAAATTGGAAAAAAAAATAAAAATAAATAAGGGATTCCTCGGTTCGGGGCCGAAGAAGCTATTGTATCAAACAAACATGTTGAGGAGATTTGAAATTGTACATTCGTTAAATAAAAACTAAGCTCCCGTTTGATGTACATTATTATCCTATTAAAATTAAAAATATGACCGTTATCAATCACATCAACATTCAAATTCAAATTTTCTATCTCTTATAGATCCCAATAACGACTATATTTTTCATTCTCATTCTATAATAATTTGGCTTAAACGGGGAATAACAATTTGAATATTTATTAGGGAAAATTACTTGCTTTAGTATTTATGAATTAATTTTGTGTCCCACTGATAACGTGGAAACGGAGGAAACGTGCAGTTTGTGTGTCAACTTCTTACACTTGCTACAATTATTAAATTTCATAATTACTATATTACAATTTCAAAAGTCATAGTCTCCAACAGGCTCTTTTGTCAACGCTACAGAAGATAAGCAAGGTGATTTTTTATTTATCTATTATTATTATTTTGTCTTTTTTCTCCAAGTGGCAGCAGAAGAACAAATCCTCTTATGAAGTCATAAATAAATTCACTTCACTTCCAAAATATCAATACTGTAGCTACACGAAAGGTCCTATGGTCAGTTTGGTGCTAAGCAGAAAACACAATTCGCACAGACGCACAGTACAGCCCTTCGGATCAAATATTTTGAACTGTTACATTATGTGAATTCATACATACCAGAAAAGTAACAAATTTTCTAAAACATATTCCTAAAAAAATTCCAGAAGCAAGCTTAACTTTTAATGATCCAACGACAAGCGCCTCGAAACAGAAACTGTTTTCCACGAAGGAAAGGCGAGGAACTGTCTACTATACATATACAGAGAGAAAGGGATGCAGAGACGAAGGTAGAAATATTAAGCCATCTAAATATCCTGTAACAATGTGCCTATTATGACAAAATGTCACAAGTTTTCAACTAGACACTTGGCTGCACACTTGCAAAACTGACTCCTCCTCAACTTGTAAGTTTCTTTAGACAGACGACAATATTGCTTTCTCGTTCACCTTGAAGGGAATAGGAGGAAGCCAATCGAAAAAGGTTGGATCCACCATATGTCAGCAACATATACAACACTTGCCCATAAGAGTTCTGTCCAGAGCTTATTCAAGAGCATTAAAAATAAAGCTCAAATAACACAGTTATACAAACCTAGAATGTTCATCAAAATAGGCAGAACCTAACCAATTCCTCACAGAGAGAGGGAGATGAAGAGAGGGGGGGAAATAGGCAATAAAATGAAGCCTTAGGTATACACATACCCTACTCTTAATACCAAACAAGAAGCATCTGATCTAAATGGCCTTTGATCAAAGCATGTACAACATCAAAGTTTCTATAGAATCTTCCTCACAATCTCAGCTAACCTCGCACTGATTCAGGATTTATCTGTCCACTGCTTCCACCATGAGCATTAAATCCAGTAACAGGCATTGGTCGCTGATCAAAATTCAATAACTTCCTCTGACGCTCATCAGTGTGTGGAAGACTAGCACGAAGAAGTTCCACCGGCATTTCCTTGCTTACAGCTCTCACAGCCTCTGAACCAATTACCTCTATGTCTGGCTGGCCTTGAGTACATATTGATTGCACAATACTGTCATATTTACTTACGCAATACTTTGTCAGCAGACCAAAGAAAGCATCAAAGGAAGCCTGCCAAAGGCCAGGATTGGGCATGCTAAAATTGCTGGCAGCTCTAGGATGACTTAATAAGTGAGTCGCTTGTTCTAAAACAGATTTCAAGACAACAGAAGCACCATCTCCAGCAGGGCTCCCAAGTGGACGAAGAGGAGGCTGTTCTAAGGAACAAACTACTGCAGCAAGACAAGCACTAAGAGAATTAAGATCCATACCAGCGACACACAGAGAAACTGTCTTGGCAAGATTATGAATAGCCTCAGCTGCACTTGGATCAGAAGGAAGGCCCCCAAACAAAAATCTTAAATGACGAAAGATAGCCATGCAGACTATTCGGACAAGCTCACTCCCAGGTAAAATGAGCTGAAGGAACCTTGAAATCAGTTTCCGACCTTTGGAATGAGAGACTATGCGTAGAAACACAATGTCATCCCTGGCAGCCAGCCCAGCAGAGTTGCCACTTTTACCAAGAGGGTCAACAAGCTGAAGAGAGGCTGCTAACCCTTCTAATAAAATCTGCCGCTTCCGCCTAAGCTGAGTGCCACCATCTTGGGGTTGACTAAATTGTAGAAGACGGTCAATGTCATCTACATCCAGAAGAAGACAAAGCCCATCCTCAATTGTTACCCTAGCTGCAAGCATGGGTTCCTTCTCCAAAGGCTTTTCAGATATTTTTGGTTCAGCGCTGCCATCGCCACAAGCAGAGGGAGGGGGGTCAACCTCAAGAAGAGGGCAGGGTCTACGTATAGAAGAAAAACAAACTCTCCCAAGAGAATCAACATGGAGATGTGGCCATGATTCTGCACTATTACGGGATCGGGATGATTGATCCTTCAGGTGGGATGGGAAGAAACGATATTTTGACCTCATTTCTGATGATTTCTTTGCAAGACGAGCTTGGTGGTAATAATCATCTATGTATGGGTCATTACCATGGTTTGTGGCGTGCTGTATTTTAAGAATACTCTCTATCTCTTCAGCAGTCATGTACTTGGATCTGAATTGTTGTAAACTACTATCAGTCCTATGACTACTAGAATCAGATCCGTGATAGGAGAATCGCACACTATGTTTGCCTTTGGCTGATTTAGGTTTTGACTCTCTCTTATCATATTTATTCAAATGTGATGGTGAAGGAAAAGTGTTAAATATCTGAGATTTCAGTGGTGACAAATGAGATAAAGCTGGTTGAACTTGAAGATGAAGTCGATGTTGCTGCGAGGATAGTAGCTGTGGTGATAATGACCCGTTTTGATATTGATGTTGCAAAACATTGTTCAAGAGGACAGAATGATCCCCGTGGAGGAGACCAGCATGGCTAGTCCAGAAGTTTTGCAGGCGTGGATTATTAGTGATATTTGGTGAGGTCAGGTGTGACATGTTTGTATTGTAATGAAATCCATGGCTTGTGCCCGGTAAATGCAGAGTAGAATTATATAATGCAGAGTTGGTTGGCACAGAGAAGGGTGACTGAGGTCCACCAGAGAGAGATGGAATATTAAGACAATTCGAATTATTCAGAGAAGCTTGTTGAGATCCTGGTGGAGGGAAGGAAGTGAAAGATGACTTGGGAACTAAAATAGGCTCACTAGCAAAGTGTTGTAGTTGCTGAGGCTGCTCGGGGTATGACGAAGTTCTGTATAATGATTTTGATTCTGGAAGTTGCAATGAAGAGAGACGTGGTTGAGATGACCACCTCTTACTTTCTTGGTAACATTCTGAGTCAGACATATGCCGGTCAAGGCAATAAGAAAAATTTGGTTCCTGTGTCCATTCTGCAGCTGATGAACCTGAAATAACAGTGTGTTAAACAGAGGACCAATAAAAAATTAATATGAGGTCAAAGACACCACCCAGAAAGTCACTTAAAAATCAAATTTTGATAGACAAGCAGTTAACGTGGCACGTCACACACTTAACAAAAGAAACAGTGAGACTGATATATTATCATGGCATCAGAACGTTTGATATTTCATATTTCTTGGACGGAATGAACCAATAAAGCAATCCTTAGAAAATCCAAAGAGAGAGCGAAATAAATTAAAAGCACTAAAATATGTTTAAGACTACCAATCTAGTATTCATGATTCCGCAGCTTTGCTTTTCATATAAAGGAAGGAAACACACAGGTACACCTTCACCTATCTGCCATTCATGATCATTTTTATCTCTGCAGATTCAATCTGTAACCTTTTATGGAGAAACATATTTCTTACTCATATGTCCCTCTTCAACTATTTTAAGATCTGCTATTCTGGTTTAACATTCTAATTAATTGTTTTGCTTTTATCTTTTCCATCCATATGCCAGTCTAGTTTCTGCGATCAAGGTTTCTCCAAAACTATCCAAAGGTTGATCCATAGCAAACCCAAAAATGACATGCCACTTTGGTGCTTGACTTCATTATGGAACAAAAGATACACACTTGAGTATATAGGCAAGAAAAAGGAACAGAGACGTGGGGAAAGATTTAAAGTGGTTCGAGTTCATTGAGCAAGCCAGTGGTACCTGTAAGTTTTTAAAGGAAGTAAAAGGGCATAAAAATACACGCAATAACGAAAGTTTGATTCTTCAATTATAGACAATATTAGAACTCACTTTCCCTTGAAAAAGATCCAGATCCTCGATCACCAATAACTCCAAAATGTCTTGGTCCAGACACAGCTCTGTTTAACTGCAAAAAAGTAAAACAGAATATATCTGCATTAAAATATGAAACCCTTTTGCTTTACTGTAACCAGTAACATTTCAAATTTTGCATATTTAGAGAAGTTTCAAAATTTTCCTTAAGGCAATTAAATGATGATGAAGAAAATATAAACTGGAAAATTTACTAGTGTAAGATATCTTGCTTCCAAGTAAAAATTAGTTGCAATTTACTAGTGTAAGATATCTTGCTTCCAAGTTAAAATTAGTTGCTTCCAAATTACTGATGTTTCCTATTCAAATTTGGAGGCATTCAATTAGGAATGTTACATGAGCTAACTAGTTTACTTAACTTCTAGCTAAAGTAGGAGTTTTTATACTAGTGATGTTCCCCATTTATGGTTGCTTAGGGATGGAAGTTTCATTCTTTTAGCAGAATGATGGTATCTATAGTACCATAAATACAATAGTATTCCAACTGAAATCAAGTAATAGTAAAATAATATTTTATTTGATGCAGATTTGCATCTTTTAAACGTGAAAATCAATGAAGATCATACGACTCTATTATCTTCTATTTTCGTCTATTATTGTACTAGAGAACGTATATTTTCATATTCAGGACTCAAGGCAATTGAGAAGTAGGCAATGCCAACTATAATTTTATAACAATTACAATAATGATAACTGACCGCTCTATCGCACAAGGATATATAATACTCTTTAAAATACAAGATCAAAGACTCAAACAGCTGTCAGATACCATAAAGTCCTATGCAGACTCTACTCTATCCAACTATGACAGCAGCAATGGCATTTCAGACTGCAATTTCAGCTTTTTCACTGTTTCACGTAGTGGTTTGGCTATGAAGCACGGATATGGACAAACACAACACGAGTCAAACATGCCGACATTTGATTTTTGAAAAAAGTACCAACACAGCACGCTACTGATACGTTATTTAAATAATATTAATTAAACTCTAAATATTTAAAAATTATAATTTTTTTCCGAACCCTTTGTTTTAATTATCCAGTGTGAAGCAACTAAAATATTGATACTGTGAAAATTAGATGCCGTACTTCGCAAAATATAAAAAGGCCGATTGCTTTATCCCTTGGGGATATAGTGATAATTTATTTAATCTTTTATTGGTTAAAAAGGAAAGTTGCATCCTTTCAAGGAAAAAAAGTCTAAATAAGTTTATTCCCTCCCAATTGATTGATATTTAACAAAGGCATATCTTTTTCTTTTAAAAAACCAAAGTCGCTCTCTACTTAACAAATAAAACACGAAGCTTAGCCTTTTAATAAAGGCAAGCCACCTAGGGTTTCCAGTAATTAAACACGCATTTAATAAGAGACAGAAAGCGTGTCTACTTTAGAAATCAGAAAAGACAGTTCGGTTCTTCAACTAGGGTTACTTTTGCCATTAGCATCATTCGAAGTGATAAATGAAAAACAGTGCAACGTAGGCTAGGTTAGTTTATGTTTTCTTTCAGATTATCTGCAAGTATTCACGGCGTGTTCGGCAGTAGAAAATCAGCGGAAAGTGGACACGCCACCTGTCACATTCGACATGTGTCGAAGGCATGTCGGCCACATACCCGTGTCCGATACAAGTCGGACACCAACTCCAGTGCCACCAGAAGCATGCCGGTGCTTTCTAGTGGTTTGGTGTCATTCTCCTCATCTCCTTCAATGCCTATCAGACATCAACATCTATTATCCAGAAAATTGACATGATGATAGTACCTTCTGTTCCTAGGTCAACTCCTATTTACGAAGTCTTATCAAAATAAAATCATGTAAGGCAGCAAACAAGAGCCATGCTCTGTCTGGACCACTGGAACTTGATATGCTGGAAATATTATTATTATTAGCAGACACCCCCCAATAACAAAAGAATATCCTAAACAAGATTTTCAAAAATTACAAAAGCAGGAAAAATTGATAAAGAATAATAAGAAAATCTAACACCAGAAACTGAAAATTATGACCAGCATTATAAGTTTGAAGACAACTGACCTTTGCAAATGTGGTAGCCAAATCATCTATACCAGATAATGATCCTAAACCTGATCCCTGGCAAAAAAGGAGAAACATCAATCAGTGGCCAAGCACTCATTGCCTACTAGCTTTTAACAGAAACTTGAATATTGAAAAAACTGAATCAAGACCATTGGAAAAGGTACAAACGCAGTGTGTGCAAATGCAAAAAGACCAAGATCACCAAAAATGTTCCATTATGTAAGCCCACAGTTCAGAAGAAAATAACAAGAAAAATCTTGCCAGCGTGATGTTTAGAGATACTTGAATAAAAACGTAGAAAGTATTGAAAACAAAAAATATCATACACATACTTGAATTTTAAAATGTATAAAAAAGAACTTGAATCAGAACTTTAGGTACTTTTCTCAAGACATATTATCAGCATTTCATTTTCCTGAGGTTAGACCATGTACATAAAGTGACAATCCCAAAAACATTTATTGAGTAATTCTTCTGGGGGAAAAACTCATGCAGGACTCTACTAGCACAGTCCAAGCCTGTGGATCATTTGGCTTAAGTTGTTATATGACAGGAGTGCAGATATAGAAAGTTACATAAGCAATGATGACAAACACATAATATGTTTTAAAACGAATTCCAAAGATATTTTCCAGAGCAGGTCTTATGTATTCTAAGTGTAAAAAAGAATATATTTAAATATATACTATATAGTATATATTGTTGGAACTTCATTTATGCAAAGCACACAACTATTATGTAATCAGGAAGAACCTTTAAACAGAAAGTATTTTCTGCCCATTTCAGAGATTTGTTTGTCAACATCCAGTACCTGTGATTTTGTATTTATTTCAGATTTATATATTCATGAACCAAGATATTGTAAATAGGAAAATAAAATACTGAAACTTCTAAAACGCATATGCCAGGAATTCAAAACAGAGCACATCAAGACTATATACTTATTATTACCTCATCTTTGTCAAACAAATGATACTCCTGCAGCTCATCTTCTCCGCCACCAAATCTGTCCCCGATCACAGGAACCCCAACTTCTTCATCTTCCAAACCCGCTAATTCTACTTCATCAGCTATATCTTTCCCGAAAAACAAGTACTGTGATGCATCAAACAGTGTGCTATCTGCACTCCACAGCAAAAGCCCAATTACGTAGGTTAAGCATTGTATTACCTGATCTACTTTATCTTGTAGCATTAATTTAGAAACACAGAACAGGAATCAAAAAATGCCCATAAAGTTTTTGCAGATTAAAGCGAGAAAGAGATCAAAGTAGACAGACAAAATAAAGAAGAAAAAAAATTGAGTTAAAGATTAAAATGGAGCTGCGAACCAGTTCTGGAGCTGCTGGAGGCAGTTCTGGAACTGCTAGAGGCGGCTTCGGTGAAGTCCTTGAAATCCTTGCCTTCGGATCCTTCCATAATTACAAATCAACCTGTAAAACAAAAACCTGTGAACAACATTAACATTTAATGAAGGAACCCTTTGAAGCAGCGAGAAATACCCACACAAAGCGGTCCCCTATCTGTACTTCTGTGCGTGAGTGTCCTAGTTTGTTCGCCGTCTCTATACATATATGTGTATGTATAACAGTACGTATGTATCCGTGTGCGGTGGTGTGTCTATGTGTGGTGGCTAGTGACGGCGGTTGGGAGGAGAGAGATGGATGGGTTTGTTTAAGCCAAAACTGAGATTTTTGGGTGTAGAGTGGTTGGGTGGGGTGGGGTTATTGAGTCAATTTCATATATGGTTACTGAAGTTCTGTGTGGAATTATAAATTAGTCCTTAAAGTATTTTTCTGATTAATTTGTCATTGAAATTAAGAGAAAAAAGACAAAAATATTACACTACCTAGAAATATCCAAACAAAAGACAAACATTGCAACATCCAAATCTCTATTATGCTTCAAAATCATATTATTAGAATTATTTGCAATCAATTGAATTCTTAAATTTGGAAAATTGCTTATTCAGCGACAATTGTGATTTCAAGATAAGCGACTATGGTGGAACTAGTCGACACGCTGAAATGATATACAAATATTATTTACAAATTATATATCTCGACAAAAGACAAAAAAATGCAATTCTTGTGGTACAAGGATTATGATGAATTTGGAAAATTGTAATACTCAAAATTCAAAATAGTAATTGATGAATTGAATTAAAACCTATTAGTCCATATCAACATTTAAAGGAGTCACATCGGATTGGACATTACTTCTACAAACGTGAATCGAAATTTTGGACAAACTTCAATGATGATTTGTGAAATTAACTTGGGCATCATCATTTTGTTAAGAATAAAGATATCTATTATTACTGATGTTAAAATATCGACCTAAAAGTCACCATATGTTGGCTAAATAAAAGACATAGTTATGTAATTCATTTAATTTTTCTTCTTATTTAATGACAATATAGTACTATCAAAATGGTGTTGTAACATTATTAATATTAAATAACATTACTATTTTGTTAATTCATAGTCCATGTGTCACGGACTGCAGCTTTACCTAAGCCTCGTGACCCTTATCGCAGTTGCAGTTTGCCCAACTTCGGCTGCACATTGTAAATATTTCATTTAATTGTAAAATAGTTGATAATTAGAAAAGTTTAGTATAATTCCTCGACTTTTTAACGTCTACTCCCGTTATAGAGGTTTTTATTGCTAAGTCTATTATAGGGGGTATTAGTCTTTCAAACATCTTTCAAACTTTTTAGTGTTCGCCCCCGCACTAGCCATTGTAATTTCCTGCTTTCATCTAATGTAATGTTCAACTTTCAAGCAATCAATGATCAAATTTATTTCAATGCATTTCAATTTCATGTTGTAAGCTTTCTTTAAATTGTGATCAAATTTACTTTCATCCCTGAACGACCGATAAAAGGCGGAAGGTAGTCTAGCGGAGCAGACTACTGTCGCACAGTGTCCCTTTCTGTGCTAAGAAGAAAGGTAACCCATGAAACCACGTCTGGCTTCGATTAAAATCTAGATTTTAATCTAAGTCAAAGTCAACAATTCATTTCAACTACATATTTTATGGTTCCACAACTTTTTAACTACACATTTCATCAACTTCTATCAAAATCTACTAAAAATTTGATTTTAATCTCCATCACACTAACCTATATATATGAGTAACGTTAAAAAATGGCATAAGACATGATAATTAAGGATGAGAAAAAAACTCAACAAACTCGATACCCTCAGGGAACCGCCCCGAACTGAACGGTGATTACCTGCTTAATCGGGCATTCGAGGCGGGGACGGGAACGGGGCCGGGATTACCTACTTAACGAGATGGGGCGGGGACGGGTAATGGGGTAGGGAATTGCCTGACGTGAGGCATAAGAGGTTGCCCCGACCTCGTCATGCCTTGCCATGACCCGTCCCGTTGTCATCCCTAATGATAAGGTGGCAAGATTAAAACGTTCCTCATGGTAATATTATTTTAATTATTTTAACTTATTAATAATAATGTCTTTTCAATTAGTTTGTTTAACATTAGAAATTAATATTTTTGAAAAAAAAAAAAATAGAAGGCGAGAACCTTTATTGTCTAGACTCGCATTAACCACGCCTTTTGCGGCTAGTCCCGCACTAAAGGTTGTGGAGCGTCAACATTTAGCATTGGAAGATAAGGCATCAACATTCTAATCAAGAATTTTGACCTAAATCACCTCACTGTAGTTAAATAATATCCCTATCAAATCGATAAGTTTTGTAATTGTGATGCTTAGATGACAAAGGTCGAGGCTTTTGGACTTGAACAAGATATGGGTGTCAATAAGGGCTATGGTGGTCCAGCCTAGGCGCACCACCACCCAGACAGACTTATCTTTTAAAACATGATCAACACACTTTTTTCTCTTTCAATTGAGATTGGAAAGTCCCAATAAAAATAGTCTTCATGTAACTAGGAGAATGTTTGGAAAACGTTTATAAATGATTTAAATTATGAATAGATAAAAATAAGCGATGAATTATTAGTACTTGTGTGTATTTCGAAGTTTAAGGATAAAATGCGCCTCGAGTATTTATAAATAATTTATAAACATGAGCCAAACATAGAGTTAAGGTTGTTTTCTTCGTTCACGTGCAATCAAAAATGGGTGCAAATCGAGAGTACAAAATATCTTAAAGTTTCAGCTATACTTTCACCAACATAAGCAACAACGAGAAATGCATAACAGCATCAAATTGTTCTATAAAAAAAATTATTTACCTGATATCAAAATTAAGGAAGAAGTTACCCAAAAAAAAAAAAAAACTCGATTTCATTATGAGAGAGCTAATTATTTAGTAGACACGATAGAAAAAAATATAAGAAGTTATAGCAAAGTGCAAGAAATTGCAATAGGATTTAACCGAGCTCGAGTTCGACTTCTCGGGTCGAGCCCAGACTCGAGTTCAAAATAGATTCTTGGTTTGAGATGGGATTGAGCTTTCATCTGTTCAATGCTGCTACTTGGTTTTTTATGGACTTGTTCACAAATATTTGGTTCAAATGGATTATATCGATCGCCAAAGTGTTACAAACTTCTACAGTTGGAGTCTCGAAACAAGTTTCAATATAAACTCTCTATTTATTTTTCAATTTTGATCGATGGTGCTTCAGCTAAAAATTCTCGTAGTTCTGATGATGAAAGCCTGTAAGCTTCTTGTATCCTGTTTAAATTTTGATTATAGGTTTCTCTTAATGCTTAGCCTTGGGTATTTCCCTCCTAGTAATTTTCAATGCCGTGCTCTATTTTTTTTATGGTGGTTTGGCCAAGGCAGATTCCAGCAGCTCTTGGTTCAACCAAATGCCAGCAAGTCTGTTCTCTTGCAATGTCCAGCTCCTTGGCTGTTTTGACCAAAGGTTAGGCAGTTTTACAGTGGCTTGGCCAAGGCAGATTCTTCTTTGGGTTTTCTTGCAGTGGTCTAGCAGTTTTCTTGCAAAGATATACCCAGATTTCTTGGTGCTGTTCTAGATAGCCTCAGTACTCGGGGCTGTTTTGACAATCTATTGTTTGCGCGCATTGAAGAATGTTTCACTTAAAAGTTAAAAGCCCTTCCACGAGATATTTTTGTCATCGCTTCTCCATTGAGGCAATTTCGAGAGCAGATGGTTCGTAATCACGCGTTGTGGAGACGATGGAGGAGAAACAGGTTTAATTTTTTAAGTTGTCTTAATCTATAATCTGTTTTTTTGCTTGACCCATTCAAGAACGTCACGTTGGCAGGATTAGAATTTATTTGATATTTATCACTCGAAGCAACCAAAAGATGCGAAATTCCATGTGCCACTTTACTAGCCTTCGAAGATCTATACCATTTTGAGCTAAAACACAAATTAAAACATAAGAAAATCCTTTTAACTATGTCAAGAAATTAATTACGAATGCAAAATAATAATTTCAGCTGGTATAAACTCACAATCACTATTTGCAAGATGACTTTCATACTATCATTTTATCAAGAACGTGCCCTAGAATAACGTTTATTTAGTATTACTAAAAAAATTCAATTTTGACAATCGATATGCATACAACAATAGAAAAAATAGGCACTTATCAAACTGATATGACTACAACTGTCATATGTCGCACTAGAAATATCAACACGTAAAACAACATTTACCTACATCATTACGCATAATGCAAAAAGTGTAAAATGAGCAATTACTTCAGCGAGACCATCCAAATAGTGCAACCTAGGATAAGTTTTCACGAGACCTAGAATGAACTTCGTCACAATATCTGTAATAAATAATCGCATTATGGCAGTAATAACAAAAATAAATCAAGAGAGTAATAATGGTTGTACATTGACCTACTCACACCCCGAATGGAAAATATATTAAGAAGCGCCAAAGTTACGATTATTTGTTTTGGAATTACAAAATCAAATGGCTCAATCTTTTTTAGACCAAAACTAAAAGCAAAATTGAAAGATAAAAAAAATGTTCTATCAAATTTATTGAACGTGGAATTGCTCTATCAAATTCAAGAAATCAAATACTAGAAATTGATAGTTGGAGATTGGTTTAGACCTTGCTCATCAAATCTTAAAACCGTGGCAAGAAAGTTTCAATCCTATCATAAGAAAACGTGGAGAAAAGACACACAATATTGGATTCCTTCTCTAGACTTGTCGGGGAATTAAAATATTGATTTCCTTTCTTAATCTTGTGATCATAAAATTGTTTTCTACCATAAAATTGTTTTCTACGTGTTGCATCATTCATCAATTGTTTTCTACCATAAAATTTTATAATATTATTGTTTAATAACTTTTCCAAAGAAAGAAAACAGATACAAATTCACAAGACGCGACGCAGAAGGCTCAAGAATTAATTATAGGTAACAAAGAAGAAGAAAAGTCAGCAAATTATGCAAGCATGAAAAAGATGGCCATAAAAAATAAACGCGTACA